AGCTCCTCTTTCTCCACACTGAGCGCTTCGTTCGACTGGGTTGCTGCCTTGAGTCTCTCGATTTCCTCGTTCTTGCTGGAAACCTCCAGAGCCAGTTGTTCCACTTGAGTCTGCACTTTCTCTAGCTGTTGTGTAGCCTCTTGAGCTTGACGCTCAGCCTTCTCCACCTTCCCATTCGTCGCATCTGCACTACTCATCAGTTGCCGGTTCTCCTGAGCTAAGCGCGTCTTGTCCTCCTCACTGGCCTTCAGTTTGGCCGACAGATCCTTCACTTCTTCGGTAGAACTTTCCCATTGCGACTGTAGCTTGAGTGCTCGTTCCTCCAGCTCGTCTTTCTCTTTACGAAGTGTACGCAGTCTCACTTCCAGTTGCGCCTGCTTGACAGAGAGCGCCTGACCTTCGTCTAGCAACGCACTGAGCTTCTCTTCCTTCTCTGCTAAAGCCATTTGAAGCGCCTGCACATCGGCACTTTGACTTTTGCTTGTGTCTCGATGCAGCTGCGTCAACTTGGCCACCTCTCGTCGCATGTTCTCTAGTTGCTCCGTTAGAAACTGCACGCGTTCCACTGCTGCGACCTCGCGGTGGCACGTCTTGTCAAGCTCGTCATGAAGCTCTTGGATCGTTGCTGACGTCGCCAAGAGTTGCGATTCTCTCACCTCCAGCTCCTTCCGAAGTGCTGCCACATCATCCGCCACGTCTTCACCTACAAAAACCTCCTCCTCCTCCTCTTCTCCTCCTTCTCCCCTTCTTCCCCCCCCCCTCCTGATCTTCACCTGCCTTTGCCTCTTCCACCTTCTGCACCACCTTTGGGATCTTCTCCTCCACTTCAACCTCAGCTTCAGTATCTTCTTCCTCTTCAGTCTGATCCTCGATAGGTTTCTCTTGTTTATCTTCAGCTTCTCCAAGCTTTACCAGGACGTCTGCGTTGTCTTCTTCCTCTTGTTTTGACTCGGTTTGCACTACCTGGGCGTCTTCTTTCTGCTCTTCCTGTAAGGTCTCAGTTGTAGCCTCACCCTTTGGCTCTTCCGTTATCTCCGTCTCCTCCTCTGGCGCCTCACTGGAATTTGCAGTATCCTCAAGTAAGGGGTCTTCAGCTTCGATCTGAGTGTCATCCGCCTCAATAGCTGTAACTTTGTCATCATCCTGCTCTCCTGATGATATGACGGGCACCGCTTGTGGCAATGGCAGGCGGGCGCCTGGCGCCCCCGTGACCACCTGGTCGAATGACTTCTCCACGTCCTCCCGCAGACTGCGGACCTGCTCCAGACCCTGCGACACTATGGACGTCACATTAAGCTTGGTGCCCCAGCCTCCCCACGCAGATGCCATCGCTCCTGTAGTTCGAGAAATAGAAATGCAAATTTGGATGAAATATTTCTTAGAGAAATAATAATGCTTAAAATGTAAATTTAATGTACATGTATTTAAATCCTATTAGTCTAAAAAAATATAATGAGTAATTTTCTGAGCCGAAAAATTAAAAACCTCGCTTATGCACGAATTCGTTTTTTTTAAAGAGGTTGAACATGTTATAATTCCTCAAAAACTCGCATCATTTGTTTGACGCGGACAAAATTTTAAAAGTATAAATCGAAGTAATTTGTTTTCACTTCAGTGCAATATTGTAAAGTTTAAAAAGCAAGAATGGAAAAGTAATATTTGCAGTAGAAAAAGAAGTTTTGAAACAATCTGAGTCGATTTACTGTCAATCCGGCCTGTCGCACACTCCTCTGAAAGTACAAGATTGGTCATACGAAAATACAAGAATCTAGGATGCGAACCGGTATACAGTAGCGATTCGAACAGTATTTAGTTGATAGATTGCGAGCATATGTGCAATAGAGAGATTGAGCATGGTTGCACGCATTCTAAGCCGTCAAATCTAAGGACTCGCAAACAGTAAGCTCTGAATCAGAGCGATTACTGATTGGCGGGAATCACAAATTTGAACTCATCTTCGCTTTAATTTGATCTAAGCCAATTCCGTTTCCAGTTCGAGAACAAGTGTGCGCAAGCCCGCTGCTGGACCATTAGAGAATAAAACGTCTCAACGGAGTAACCAACACTTCATTCGCGATATAGAACATACTTCAAGAATAATAAGACAAGAATATATGTGTTGTGGCAAATTTCCGGTCATGAACATTAGAGAACTTTAGTTTCTGGAATAGCTCAGGCTTTTTGGAACAATAATTTTCTTTGTCCAGAAATATATTCCACTGCGTTATTCCACTGGAATAAATTATTGGAATATCGATCGGTAATCTATCCGTCATTTATTCAGATTTTATCCAGATAATCGCTGCGTCATTCCAGAAACTAAAGTTCTCTATTGCTTCCCTTAGGTTGCTCAAGTTGAGCCGTGTCAAGTTGAGTGCATGTCGCACTTTGTTGAAGCTGTACAGCTCAGATTCCGAGCGGTATTTTTTTACCTGTCAAAATACATGCCATTTGATGGTTCTCTCCTCGGTATTTGACGCTTCCCCTTTTAAGTAAATCAGTCTCTATCGTCTCTTTTACACGAAGCTGTCGGTGAGCGCTTCCGTACCCAGCTGTTCTCTGTCGTGCCTCTTCCTCGCTGTCATTTCCCGAAAAGCTTCGCATCGCGCAAGTCAAATCTGCTGCATACAAACGTTAAGTGAGAGTCGCCACACAATGGCCAACAACCCGATCGAGGACGATGCTCGTGAGCTGCTGATCCTGGAGCGCCAGCGCACGGCCGCATTGGAGCTGGAGGTCAAGACACTGCGTGCGTCGCTAGTGGCGCTGGGCGAGTCGACCGAGTTTGAGGAGGAACGCATGACCAACCGTCTCATTAAGCGTCTTCATGACGTCAAGAGCGAGAAGGAGAAGCTGGCGCTCGAAGTGGAGCGGGAGGAGGAGCTACTGACGAACAATCTGCAGAAGAAACTCAACCAAGTGCGCAAGGAGAAAGTGGATCTGGAGAACAAGCTGGAGAACGAGCAGGAGTATATCGTCAACCGTCTCTCGAAGCAGCTCGAGACTGCGCGCGCCGAGAAGGAGCGACTGCTACAGGAGCTACAGAACGAAGACAATGGTGTACGTAAGGCGCTAGAGTCGCAGGTGGCTAAGATCCTGCACGAGAAGGTGCATCTGGAGAACGAGTTGGAACAGGAGCAGGAGTTTCTGGTGAACCGCCTGCAAAAGCAGCTCTCGGGTCTTAACAGTGAGCGTCGTCGTATGGAGCGCAAACTGGCGAAGGAAAATGTGGCGCTCATCGATCAGATGCGGCTAAAGCTCGACGTGCTCAAGCTCGAGTGTGGAGACGACGCCAACGCCTTTGCAGATGGCGTCAGCAAGATGCTGGCTAAGGCCAAGGAGCAACAGGCTAAGAAGGCGGCAGATGTCGTCAAGACAACTAAGGACGACATCAACATCCAGACATGGGCCGCTTCTTCCGGCTTGAATCCGCAACTGACACCCGAAGGACTTGTTTACCATCACATTCGTCGTGGCACGATGTGAGACGGTGACGAGAACCCTTTTTTTATCTTCTGCTGGATGCATGGACTGCAACAATTGGCGCTTTGGTTTCTTTTCTTTTTCGGTTGCTGTCGGCATCCCGACAAAACAAAAACAAAAATTCAGCTGAAACCGAAGGCTAGGAGGAAAGGAGCGAGCACGTGAACGCTTGGATGGTCATTTCGAGAATAGCGTCGCGGAAGCAGAAGACGCGAACGAGAGCAGCAAGCAATTTCAATCTTGTAACATATCAAAGTATTGCATGACCATTTTATGAGTGGAGGACGTTAATTTACATTTTGTAAAGTACTACTGGACATACTACGAAGTACTACTTTTAAGATTTCTACTTGAAGAAGTAAACAGCAGTACGAGTCTGATTAAGTAGTTGTCGTTGATATGCTTATTATAATTTGTAATGAAGAAAACATATACAGCAATTTAGATAAATGACTTACGTACACACCTACTTAGACCTAGCTGTGGGCTTTCCTAGCAAAATGGTCACTTACAATGCCTGCCGCACCATGTTCTTTTGCGCATCCGTCAACTTGGTGGGGAACTGCACGTCAAATTCCACCACCAGGTTACCTCGCTGCGAGGGTCTCTTCTGCAATGGCATTCCTTCGCCAGCAATCACAATCTGCGTGCCAGGCGCGATAACTCCTCCAAGAGGAACTGGCACCTCGCGTCCGTCCAGCGTCTTGATTGTCAATGTGCCACTACCCAGCAGAGCGTCGCGGAGTGACAGCTTGGCGTGGTACAGCAGGTTGTCACCGTCACGTTTGAACTTGTTGTGCGGCTTCTGCTTGATAACGAACACGATGTCTTGAGCAGGTCGGCCGGGTAGAGCGTCGCCTTGACCCTCGAAAGTCACCTTCGTGCCGTCCTTCCAACCTGGCTTTACGCTGATTTCCAGTATCTTCTGCTCCTCGCGCATTTGGTTTGAGCTCGGGTCGTGTACCTTACGCGTGATCTTGAGCTTCTTTGTGCAGCCTGTGTACAGTTGCTCCAGTGGCACTTCCAACTCACTTTTAAGCTGCTGTGCACGTGGCTGTCGCTGCTGGCCGAAGGGATCGTGGCCTCCAAAGCCCCCGCTCCTCATGCCACGCATGCCACCAAAGCCCATGTCGCCGAACATTGAGGCCATGGGGTCTCTACCCTCAGCCTCGTGAAGATTGGAGGTGCCGAAGAATTGCTCAAAGATCTTAGACGGGTCTGTGGAGTGGAAAGAGAAGCTTCCGCCCGGGAAGCCGTTCGTTGACGTCGTGTACGTGAAGCCTCCAGGCATTCCACCCATTCCATCCATACCACCGGGCACACCTCCCTCGGGTCCTTCAGGTCCAGCAGGCTGGCCTTTCAGCCCCTCTTCGCCGTACATGTCGTAGATCTCGCGCTTCTTCTTGTCGCTTAACACTTCGTACGCCTCGCCGATCTCCTGAAACTTCTTCTGGGCCTCGTCACTGTTGTTCGGGTTCTTGTCTGGGTGCCACTTGAGTGCCAGCTTACGGTACGCCTTGCGCAGCTCGTCGTCTGTGGCGCCCTTACTCACGTTCAGGGTTGCGTAGTAGTCCTTGCCCATGTTTGTGTTGGTTGTGTTGCGTATCTTGCTTTCGGGTTCTTCTTTGCTTTTTGTGGCTTTTTCAATTGTGGAATCAACTGTTGAAGTGAAATGCAGCTCTTGGTGTCGCGAAAAGGTGACTTCGCGAAAAACACTAGAAAATTCGAGATCATTACTGTTGATTGGCTGAAAACAAAATGGAGAACGAATATAATTGGGAGATAGCTTGAGACAATCTTCTAGACTTCTCCGGCGCTCGCGCGCACGCTCTCGTTCGTGCTTGCGCAACATAGTGATGAGGACATTCTCTCGCTTTTTCCGGTTGACGCGATAGTTGGATCTGCAGCATCATACGGAAGGATTCGGACTCGCGGTAGCTGGTCACAGTTTTCGGTACATCGCCATCGTCACGTGTGCTGCCATAACGCGACATGAGCTTGGCACCGCGCGATAAATCACTTGGCACTTGATCAAGGGGCAAGAGTCAGCAACTGGAAAGTCAACTCCACGGTGAACACGACCAACCTTTTAAACCGCGGCTCCTGCAGTCGGCATCGGCCAATGCCACCAGCTTCGGACAGCGCAACTCTTCTTGACAACCGGAGCACATTTCCTGCAACAGGCATACTATCCCGGTAAGTTCCTATCCCAACAACTCTGGCAAAGGGAATGCAGTCATCACTCTGGACGTACGACTTTTTCCAGCCCTCGAACGACTTTCGAGCAATGACAAGCGCTGGAAACGCGAAGACAGAAAGTTAGGATCGCGAATTGGTCAGCGGGAGTAGACAAGTGCTGAAAATTACTCAACGTACTTGAGAATTTGACGCTCTGTCTTGGACCTTTTATTCAGCGCGGCTATCGTTTTCATACGACAACACTCCCGTCCACGGATGGTGGAGAGGATATAGTCTCCAGCAGCATTGATCGTCTCTTGGCGCCGCCGAGGTTTGGTATCCCACGGCAACTCGACGATGCCTCGAATAAATACGTCCACTTTGTCAGGAGCTGCCTGACAATAGAGATAGCACACCGACATGTTGATTCGTCGTACGGACACGTCCGACGCCCGGTCTTCTGTCTCTACCGACTTCATTAACTGAAACCCGAAGCGTTTCCCCGCCGTGACCATAGAGTCCATGCGTTCGACCCAGCACAGCTCGTCGGTGAGTCCTGGTATGTGGCTAACCTTTTCCACAAACTTGAAGATGCAGCTCAACGCACCGATCCAGTACGGAAGCATCTTGAACTGTGGGGTGGTGTGAACATTTTGCGCGCGCTCGGTCGCCAAACCGCATGTACAGTCCGTCCATAATCTCGTCTAGTGTGCCGGGCAGCGTGCCGCCTCCAAAGGCACTTACCATCACAGTACGCAACACTCCCAACGAATCGGAACTACCGGTACTGCAATCGCTTGGAAGTGAGTGTCGCATGCTGAATGAGGATTCGCGTAGCTCTACACGCTCCGTGTACATATCAATACGGCAGCGTACGAATTCCATGTACTGAAGCGCCGTCTTGGCGATAATACCGTCGCTTGAGACCACGAAGGCGCGCAGCGAGGCAGCTTGGTCCTGCTCATCGTCCGCCATGGCCAAAAGTGATTCATTTATTCTGAACCGGTAGGTACATCCAATTATTGAACAGCGGGCTTTTAAAATGAAGCCATCGAATCGTCTTTGGTAAAAATTTACTGATTTACAAAAATCGGTTTGTTTAAAGACAAACCATTTTTTGTTTAAAACATTTTACTACAGTATTGGTTAGCATATCTTGCGCCTGTAAGTAAAGCTCCCGTCGTTGCAGATGTGGCTGCTAGAGCTCTACTCACTATTTTCGTCACCAGCATTCACCGAGTCTCTCGTGTTGCGTACATGTATCGAGTGAAGAGTTGTTGTCGCTCGGCGAAGTTCGATATGGTAATTTATGGGTGACGCTCGGGCTATAGCATGTGTCGGTGGCGCTCGCTAGTGTCAGTGACGCTCAGACTGTGGTTTAAACTGTCGACCTGGTTTATGGAACTCTTATTACTCGTTGCTTGGTGGCGTCCGTGTGGTGTTGGAAACCCCAGGCGAACTCTAGCTACAAATATAGCTAGGAAGACCCACAACAATATGTCGCTCAGAACGGCAAACGATGGTTCGTGTGGACCTGAAACTTCCAGTTCTGTCCTTGCATCGGTACAGACTGAACCTAGCAAACTACTTATATAGGCCAACCAGTAAAAATGATAACACGCTACTGGCACGAGCAAAGCCAGTAGGTATTTTGAATCTCGTTGGCCGTTTGGGAAGGTGTGGCGACGGCTCAAGTGTTGGTTGACATGCGAAGAGATCCATAACGGATCGTAGTTCGATCTCATCCACGGTGTGACAGGTGGGTAGAGCTACAAGTCGCAGACAAGTCTCTTGCTGGTGTTCTATACACCATCGAAAGTGGATGCTACAAGGCAGCACGCATACCCAAACAAGTGCTCCACTGTTTTTATGACTATAACAATCTAGGTCTATCGCGAACGACTTTGGCGCACGTATACAACATTTCGAAAATCGATATTAGCTGGATTAAGGGTTAAAAAGAATCGGGGAGATTTGACCGTGCTACGCCGATGCCCATCGGAAGCTTACCCCAGAGCTGCGGCCGTGGCTGTTTAACCTTACCAGGAAAGTCCACTTGCGTACTTTGATCAAGCTCAGACCGCCATCAAGCAACACCACAGTGTAAGTATTTCGAAGACGTCAGTGTGGAGGATACATCACGACTTTGGATTGACGTGTAAGGTGCTGAAACGCCGCGAGATCCACATCAAAGAGTGTGGTATATTTTCCGGTATACTGAGGAACTTAATCACATCACTTGGAACTACCGAAACAATGTTGTTTTGGACGAAGTTATCAAAAAATATAGAGAAATGGTTAGAAGAGGGGCTACGCTCTACGAGGTGAGAAAGTGGCGATACGCGGTGATTTTCAGCGAAAGCCTAGGGTTTCTATATTGGCTTTCAGAGGCGTTAATGACATCAACGACTATTTCGAGACTGTCGGGGCCTTTGGTCGTGTCTATTTCGTGAGGAGTTACCAGGGAATTTGCGTACGCTAAGAGAGCCAACGTTCGCACTTACCCTAGATCGAATTCTGTGTGGTTATTAGGCGGAGCGAATAATTCACCGCCATCTTGAAACTGCCCCATACCTGAGAAGTCTAGGTATAGTGCCAATTCTCCTGTGTACTGCCCATGTTTAATACTATTGAGTCCATGTTTGGCCACACTAAAGCAGCATTCCGGTACCACTATAACGAGTCTAGAGGGCGTGATTTAATGCCGACACTGTCACAACGTTTCGGTGGTTCGAGAACTTCAAAATACCGAAGGTCTTCAAGCACTGTGGTGTTTCAGAAATATGGGAGACTAGTGAAACGGGTAGCTATGGAGATCCGTTTGGGTTTCATATACGTGATGTATAGATTTCGATGCGTGCTGACCTGATAGCTTTGCATATCGGCATCCCTAAGTTTTGCAATTCTTCATTTTTCGTGTTCCAGATGTCCATATTCTGGTACATATCCACAGTGTTCAGCAAGTATCAGCGCGTACGCGGTCTCACTTCTGTCGCTCACCACGCCATAGGCGAGTCGGTCACGATGGGCGTAACCACGACGATTACCGCGGGTCTTTCGATCCTGTCCCGGACAGACCTTCACGACGACTCCTGCGGTCGACTTGTTTGATGATGACATCTTTACGCCTGAGCTATTGCATCAGGAAGAAGCTGTACGGCAGCGAGAACATCGTCGAAGCTCACAGCAGTCTCGAGACGACGTTGAGTGCGGACATCGTCATGAAGAGGAGGCGCAACGTTGAGCTGCACTTGATGACGAACCATCGCGGTCAAGTACGGAATAATTGACGTCATCATGTGATCGACTGACGCCTCTGTGCTCTCAGCCAGCATGGCACGCAACGAATCCTCGTTGAGTGGTGGAGAACCATCTATAGGCACAGGCGGAACACTAGGAGCCATCTCCGTGGATTCATTGGCTACAGGAAGTGCTGCGGGAGCTGCAGCAGGAGGTGAAGGGTCCGGAACAGGAAGTACCGGAGTTTCAGTTGATGAAGGTGCAGTCGAAGCAGGTAGGGCTATGCTGAGGGTCGCTCGAAACCTTGGTGCCGCCCTCCTGTGAAACAAGACGAGGCATATATATGGTGATAAGCAAGGTACCGATGATTCACGAGGAAGATGTGGTGACTTACCACCAGCTGCTCACGCTCACGTCATCGGCAAGGTTGGAGACACTGGAATGCTTGAGACGCTTGGACATCTTACGACTTGATGGCGAACTGGAGAATGAAGAAATGTCACAGCTGGCTCCAGTACCGTGGCTCTCATTGCGACAGGGGCAGCTGTGGTGTAGTGAGCCTTCTCCAGAGGTGCGGATAATCGCCCGTCAACAAAGATGCGGCCCCGTTGAAGATGTTCAAGCGATGAACCCTCAGTCACATGATGTACGGTGACTCCAAGGTGCAAGAGACTCGACGGTGTCACTACCGAACACTCAATGGATACTGGATACGGTCAAGATGTCACTCAATCCAGGCTGTATTTATTATTTGTAATAGAGTGGCCGGGTTCACATTCAGCGGACAAGAATTACCCATCTAAGGTACGAACTATCGGTGGTGGTTGGGATGAGTTCGCGGAAGACTCCACGACTCTTTGAAGGCACGTTTACCGTCTGATAAAGGGGTGCGAGCTGTTAAAGATGCGCATGCGATAGTGCAGACGACGATTGGCGTGCAAAAAGGTCCGCAACCGATCATAGTTCACTTGATATTTGTAAACATAATTAGGATTCTTATTAGGAATAGACCCGAAAGGGCAAACATAAATACAGAACTGAACTTCCACTCAAGCACACAGAGCGGCGTCCGGCTTAAAGAGACTGTGTGTGTATTGGCCGATAACTGTCGAAAGGTTTACGTGACGGCTTATTGTTGCCAATTTACACGACTGGAAGTGCTTGTATAGCATTCCTTTTTTTTTCAACCGAGTGTTGAACACTCGGTGCCCTCGTAAAAGGCATACCCGTGCCTGGTACCCTCCCGCTGTTGGAACCACGAGGATTCATAACACCAATTAGCTTTGCTCGTGCTAGTAGCGTGTTCTTATTTTTACTGGTTGGCCTACATGTATATAAGTAGTTTACAAGGTCCAGTCTGCCCCGGTGCAAGGGCAGTTCCTGGGTCTTCAGGTCCGCCCGAACGATCGTTTGCCATTCTGGTAGACGTATTGTTGTGGGAGCCACATAATTACATTTGTAGCTAGAGCTCACGTGGGATTTCCCAGCACCACAATACTGGTCGTGGGGCGTCGAGATCGTAAACGAAAAACTTGTTACTGTGCAAGCGATCAGCCGTATACTGAAGCATCACAGCCAGCTACGATGCGACGAGCTCGCTTCGCTGGACTTCAAATCCTGCATGGTTCGCAATGGATCCTACGATAGCATCTACCTCTGCAGTCAGCTGCCAGGCTTCGTGTAACAGACACCTAAAGACAGATGCATCGTCATCCTTCTCACAGTCCTGGAAGTAGCAGCAAAATTCAATGTAGTTCACAATTGAGCGCTGGAAGAGCTTGATTGTGTAAGCTACACGCGTACCACAGTCCCACTTTGTTGTCAACCTTGGAAGGCTGTACAATGTTTGCACGTCCTCCAGACGCAGGCAACGCTGTTCAGTGCAGAAGTAGCTGTTCAAGTTACGAACACGCTTAATCAAGTCCGCCTTTCCTCGAGCACTCCACTGACAGTGCAATAGTAATGCTCGCGCTTGTAGGTCGCTGTGGGTGGGTCGTACACCGTTACAGTATCTGTGTTCTCGCGCCTTCCCATCGTGTGCTGCAGGCACAGGTTAGAGAATACATTGTGCAGTCGGTAGGCACGGACTTCTCGAGCAGTTTGAAACCCTGAGAGCACGGGGGGGTGTATCGGACCCCGCCAACTGCGTCATGGCGTTAAAATCGATGCCGTACAGTCCGTCAACCGAGCGCACGCTGCCGTCTCCATTTCCACGGACGCATGTAGCTCATTGGCAACCGTGACAAGTAAAGCGACTTCTCTAAAAATTCCCGCC